ATTATAAACGATATTTACTGAATAGCACAATGACTTTTTTACTAAAAAAGTATGATAAAAACAATTTATTATTATTATTAATTAAAAGGTAATAACTACCAATAAAGTAATAACTAATATTATTATAACTGTTTTGAAAAATACATATGACTCACATATATTGCTCACCATATTTATAGATAAGAAGAAGGTCTTTTAAAATGTGTGAAATAATCTTTGCCATTAAAAAGGTTTTAGACTCTGAGAGGAGCTATGAAAGTATTTTACAATGATGTGTGTGTTTTTATTATTTTTGTTCTGTCACCACCGTTGGGGCAGTAAAACTGCTAAAATTGTCTTCAACTATATCTTGTTCGATGGGAAAGTGAAGCTAGTTGATGCATTCGAGAGGTCAAAATTCCCAATAGTTTTCTAAAGCGTCAGGAAAAACAACATAAAAACTAAGGAAAAACTGAAATTTTTACGCAAAATCGGTTTCCGATAAAATCGATTTTGGTTTTTGGCTGACTAAAACATATGAACGTATATACATCGAATATTCACTAGTTGTTTATATTCGAAATTTCTATGCACGATAACATTTTCAAAATATTTTGAGCTGTTTAGGGACATTTTCAGTTTTTCAATATTATAAGCTTTTTTTCTATTAATGTCAATAAAACTTTATTTTTTGGGTAAAACAGCTTGAAAATTTAATACAATAAGCTAGTAATGTATTGTTACAATTATATTTGAAAAATAGTAATAATCCTTGGCCCCGGTTTTTTTTATAAGCATTTAAGTTCAAATCTTGACAAAATACGGAAAAATCACGACCATTTTTTTGAGCTAAGAATCCATAAAATTTTTTTTTTTAATATAAGATTTTAAAATATAAGTAAAAATAATAGGTCATACTTACAAATAATAAAAAAATTCGTTGTTCGTCTCGTTATCTGGGATGTGACTAATAATACCATTATTCAATTATTGGTTCTACCTACTATCTACCAATCATATTATTATATTATGAACTTCATAAGAGTTAAGCTCTTTGAAAATAGGTTGATACTGGATTACTCGCCCATATTGGATATTAACCTACCAACAATATAGCAGAGGTAATATATTGGAGATTTTAAATGAAGAGTCCACTTATTAGTTATTGGTAACGTACCTATACGCCATGGCCCGATGGATAAGTTTCGTATGTGATTTGTGTGGTGCATAAAAATGATGAATAGAGAGACATAGGTAGAACGATGGAAGGCAAACTACGAGACTACGAGTGCCGTCTTTAAAATTGAATCCAATTCCAGCCGAGAACAAATTTTCCCGAAATAGCCTAATGTCAAGGACACACCAGCAATAGTTATTGGAAGAACTTTAATTATTAATACCTATAATTTTATATTATCGTTGGCAGCACTCCAATGTGCGATCTAACGATACCGTTCGATCTACTTAATACTAATTATAGTAATAACTTACTGTTACTGGTCTTGTGAAATAATGGACAATGTTTCATTAAGTATCACCAGTTCAATTGCCTACAACAATTCTGAAATAAAATTGACGATTTAATATTATTTACTACCTATTAATATTGAAGAGGACACCTGAGTCCATCTTATAAAATTATAACATATGAAATTTTCGATGAAACAAAGCTTAAATTATTTGAAAATATAAGAGATATATGGGCAGATTGTTTTTATAAGTATTTATTTGAAGTTTAAATTTTCAAAAAATTGGACAAAATTATGAAAATTTGCATTTTATTTTTTAGTAGGTAAGTAACACATTTATAAAATGTTCAATTTGTATAGTTATAATGGCTTAAAAATGTAATACGAAGTTAAGCTAAAAGTGAAGGTAAAATGTAATACGAAGTATAAGTAGTTTATTATGGAACTAAATAATCCGATAAGTATAATATATTACAAGAACAATTTTTTATAGACCTTTTATAAGTTCAAATTTGAGTGAAATTAGATATTTAAAGGAAGAATAACAGCTATAGATGTTTTATTATATTTCAAAAATATTTTACGTGTGGACTTTATTAGTTATAGAATTTTGGTTTTAAAGTCTGGTTTTTTTTAACTTCGAACAGTTCAACCCACCTGTACTATAAATATAACAAGGCGTATTGGATATGCAATTTAGATACATCACTTTTATGGTGGTACATAATGTACATACAATTATTTCCAACATATCTCAAAAAATAACATTCGAGTTAATATAACAATATTTTATTAAGTAATAATAATGTTCCCAACATCGTGATGGTTACGAAAAATATGAGCTATAAAAATATAAAATGAATCTGTTCGTGTTGGATAATAACAATCTTATAGTTCATTAAAATTGAATTTCCCTAAAATAAGAATTCCTTTCTTTTCTCAAGCCATCAAAATTATAAAATGTTTGGGAAACTTTTTCATAATAGTTTGAAAAAATGTCGGGTCATGTTTGGATACAATAAAATTAAAGGAACTTGGTATGTCTTCTATGCACAAGATTTAAATTTGTGCATATTTTGATCTACATACATTTTTCCTTTTACCCGGAACTGACACAGATAGTTGTAGAATTTTATTTATAATCATTTTATGATTAAATTCTCGACCAGGGTAGAAGAATGTACCTATGCAACACACCTCCTCGGTTAGTCAAACCCAGTGGCTGTCGATATTTATACCTAACTCTATCCAGTTAAGGAGTAGTTGGTTGGCTATTCCCACTACACGAACCGGTCCTTAGATCCGGGTTGTTGAATTGATATAAATAAAGTTTTCTGAGTTATATTTTACAGGTCCTAGAAACTTATGACCTGCGTTCATAAACTAACACAATTAACACGATATAGCAACGAATACAATGTTTTATTCAAGACTAAAGTAATTATAATATTATAAACAATAAAATACACTATCACCTGAGTAACCCTGTTCTTAAGGGTAGTATATTGAAGATAACAGGAGTAGCGGAGTACGAGTTGAACAATACTGAATTATTATAATTTAACTATTAGGTACGTTATTATATACTTAAAGTTAATCAATTAATTACGTTTAATAATATTGTAAATATGACTATAGTAGACTGATGTATAGTCTCTATTTCACGGATCAAACTCGACTGGCTGCTATGCCAATAATATATAGGCTCGTACTCTACGTTCCTGTTTTCTGTTTACCTAAGCAAATTCGCCGAGTGCGACATAAATGACGAGTCAGTAAACTGCGAATCGTTACAGTTACCCCCCTCGCCACTTAAAATCTGCCCTCAGATTTTAAATTGAAAAAAAAAATTAAAATTAAAAAAAAAAACTGTCATCAAAGGTATGTTAGTAAACACGTGATTATACCTTGGTTATTTTCGACGATGAACATCTATTCCGTACTTCTCGGTGAATATAGCCTTGTCGGAAAATCCCTCATTTAATCTTCTCAGGATATAACACGGTTATATTTTACTCTTTTAATTTTAAGTTACTTTTAGTGGTCATGTCATTATTACGTTATTTTTTGAAAAGAAGAAAAAGAAATAAAAAAAAAAAAAAAATAGAATTACATGTATAATATATACTATATATACATATAGATTATACACATAAAATAAAAATTATACATTATAAAAATTGTATTTATTCATTATTGCTTACCTATCCAATGAAAAACGTTGCCAAAAATTGGATAAGTTTACAGATTATTTTGTGACAAAGTAGACATGCCTTAAAATTATAACTATAGATTTGGGTTTACAATGTTTAGAACAATAGTGGTTCTCAGGTTTACATAACGCCATAATAAACTAAAACTATGTTTGTTAGTAAAAAAAAAATATCAAGTATATAATAAAAGTATAAAGAAAACGTCATTACTGTATAGCCGTTAAAACAGCTGTTTAAGAATGTCATTCATAACATCGTAAATCATTGCTCTTGTTTTGCTATTTATTCTGAAATCATCTATGATTAGTATACAGTGTATATTTTATTATATCAAAAATATTATTAACATCGTCATCATTCATTCATCAATAACCCACGCATACGTTTTGTACTATGTTATATCCAATTGGAAACAGGGAACAAAAAGTAACAAATAGTCTCTTTGTTTGTTATAATGAAAAATACTTTGAAATCCTATTCAAATTTAATTTTATTTAGTATCTAAAACAACGTCGAAGTGGTATGATGTGTGCCTCATAATTATCGATAATGTAAATCTCATTTTTTGTCTTGACCATAATTCCTTTAATGAAAGTAATAGATGTCTATAGTTTCATTTAAAATAAGTATAATTAAAATGATATAGTATACCTATTTCGTTCTGTATCAAAATTTGCGCTTTATTCGTTATTTTAATCGTTTAAATACTTGGTTTTCATATTTTAAACGTAAGTATTTATAAGAATAAAATTATTCATAAATTGGCTAATACTTTGCCTTTTTCGGTATAACTGCTAGTAGTAAACAATTTTACCTACTTTATCATAAAAATGATGTCTTTCCTTGTAATCAGGGCCGGCTCAATGTGGTAGCAAAATAGGCAGCCGCCTAGGGCGGCACTAGTGTGGGGGCGGCAAATTTCAAATGAACCAAAGTGATTTAATTATTATAAATTATAATATAATATAGTCTGCTGAATTGTATGTTCATTACTCAAATATACAAAAAAAGTTTACCGAGAACGCACTAAAGTCGTAATACTGCATGAATATAAATAGAACGGCGATAACAATACATGCATTAGTCGACCACAGACGAATGCACGTTCTTATCGAGTTTAAAATTATTATTTAATTGGAAAATAATTGTCAATGACACAACGGCATTTAGTCCCGGACTTTCAGCCGCCCGCCGAACACGTAAATAATTTTTGCCGTAGAGGGATAGTGATAGTAGACCAAGTGCGTGAACGTGTACAATTTTTATTAAAATAAATTTATAACTGCAACACTTAATTGGTATTAATTTTGTTAAATTATCACGTTAATATTTATTGAATATGTCAGAGCAAAAACGTATACGGTTATCAGGAGCTGCATATCGAAAACAAAAATTAAAACGTGATGAAGAAATTAAAAAAAACTCTGGTTCCTTTGAAAAATATTTGAAAAAAAATAATGAAGTTTTAAATAATCCAGAAACACATTCTAAAATTATTTCAGAAGAACCAAATACCTTAGAAGTTACTGACAGTTTAAAAGAAGTTGGTAACTCAGAACAAATTTCCGATAGCATTGACATTTTCAATAATGAAATAAACATAACGTTGGAAGAAAATGCGAAAATTCGAATTATTTTAACTATGCCCGTGTCGGTCGCATCTGGTGAACGGAGCTTTTCAAAATTAAAAATAATTAAAAACTATTTGAGGTCTTCTATGAATCAAGAAAGGTTAAGTGATCTTGCTACAATTTCTATTGAAAAAGAAGTAATGGAAAATCTGGAGTTCAAAAATTTACTGATTGATTTTGCCCAAGAAAAGGCTCGCAAAATTAATTTTATTTAATATATTTTTTTTTTTTTTTGTTATATATTTTTTAATGTTAAATTAAATACATATTTTTTATCTATGATAACGATAATGAATGTATAACAATGGTCAAAAATATTACTTGTTCTATTTTATACCCAACATTTATTTTAATTTTATTATTATTATTTTATATTTTGTAAAGAAAACTTAGGTCAGTCAAAACATTTTATTTTTTTTTAATTAAACAAGGGTTCATAGATAAAAATGAATGTCCTTATTTTATCAATACACTCCTCTCCAAAAAAATAACTATTGCATAGGGCAGCTTAAATCAGATTTGCCTAAGGCGGCAAAAAACCTACGGCCGGCCCTGCTTGTAATATATGACAAGAATAAGGAAACACAAATTTAGCACCGTAATGTTTAACGCTTTTGGTCATTTTATATATGCGTATAAATAAATTTCATCAAAATATATATTTTTGAATGTATATAGTTTAGGTCATTAAGATATATTTTTCTCAATTTTCATATCTATCCATGAGATTGTTCTAGGTGGGGTCAATGTGGACACATTATGAAATGCCGACTCACAAGGTCTCTTTCTAGAATTTAAATATCTAACAAATAATTTTTTGAACATAATAAAAATTGATTTATTATAATTTATAACTCTAGTTGTGCCTAAACTCTGATATTTATTATACTTTTAATGAAGTCATAACAATTTTTGAATAATTTGAAAAACTTTTAAGTAAGTTTATTAATTATAGGTCTTCGTATAAATAAGGGCACACAAACAACGCATCTCTTGCACATTAAGTTTTTTTTTTTTAATTACCATTGATTTTACTTTCATTATACATAGATTATTGTAGAATATATTATGTATTATATTATTATTGTATCATTTAAATATTATGTAATTATTTATTCTTTAAACGAGTGCGACTAAATGATTTACTTGACGTATTTGTAATGTTTGGGCTAGTGTAGCCCCTAAAAGTACATTCTGCATTTATTTCTAATATTTTTATAAATTTTTTTTTTTATTTTTAAACTGGTGCATCTAAATAACTTTTTTGACGTCTACGTATTGGTTGGGTTGTTGCAGTCTCTAAAAAATAACTTCTGCATTTATTTTTGATATATTTTATGATAATGTGTATAACTATATACCCTACAATTATTATTACAGCGTATAATGAATAATTATGAGTAGTTAAATATGTTTCCTTTCTTAAACTTTCTTCTTGTATTTCTAACATGTTTATTACAGAGTCTAATGAATTAGAAGATTTTGATATATCAGATAATTGGTTGTCTATCGTCTTTAATACCGGTATAGTTATTGGTGGTTCTTGTATTTTATTAATTTTATTTATTAAGTTTGTAGACACATTTGTTAAGTGAAATTGTGGTACAAAGTCTATATTTGTCGTCATATTAGCATAACAATTATTTGGTTTTAAAATTGTTGTAGGGGTTGTTACATAACAAGCTTCGTTTATTGATAAGATCCCTGTTCCAAATAGTTTTAGTATTTTACTATTATCTGGGCATACTAATGTTACAGTATTTAATTGATCTGATGCATATATCCAAGAATTTTTTAAGATTAGTTTTTTATAAAATGTTATTGAAGTTTTTATGTGCCTTACGTCACAAGAAACTGGTAAATTTAAAGGGTCAATGAATAATTGAACTTCACAAGTATCATGGGTGTTTCTGATTATTATATTATGTGGGTTACATATTGTTATATCTAAAGAGTGCCTACACATCAAATAGTCTTGGTGCGTAAAAATTACGAATTTTTCATTGTCCTGACTTATTGCCAAATACTCGTTCGATGGTTTAATAAAAATATAATTATTATTTTTTATGGGTACTGGAAATGGTGTTATGTGATATATAACATAACTATCTAATAACTCACACAGAGGGATATGTATAGTATAAATTAAATACGTGTCCATAAAATTTAAGGAAATAGTTAGTAGTTTTGAAAAATCAAGAAAATTATTTATTCTTTCTGGGCTTTGTGGGATGGATAACTGCTTAGGAAGTATTTTTTCGATTTCTTTTAGCTGATTTATTATTGTATTTGGACTAACTATTGAAGGATGTAGTTGTCCATTTTGGCCCCAGATTATTGACTCAATGAGTTCCTCAGTTTCCTGATTAAATTCGGTTAATATTAAATTGAAAAATATTAAATGTTGTGTTAATGTCTGCGAAATATCTATCGTTTGTATATTCTGAATGCTATTATTAACGTCACATATCAACTGGTCTAACGTTGTTTTTAATTTTATGGTATTCTCGTTTATTGTTTTAGTTATGTTGTTAAAATTATTTAGTGTTGAGTGAACTATTCTTGTTTGAATATTAATTAGGTCTAATGTTTTTTTATTTTGTCCTGAGTGAGATTTTATCTTTTTATCAATTTCGATTAAATCGTCCTCGTTTAATATTCCAAAGGCCCATTTTTGAAAAGAACCTATTACATTAACTAAACCTCTTTTGGCTATTCTATGTGTTTTAAGATTATTATAATTATTAAATCTTTTATTTAGTTGTGCAATAGTGTTGTTTATCAGACCACTAAACTGTTGACAAATTTCAGAAACGTTTCCTATGGATTTAGCTCTACAAAATGTCATTGTTTTATTATTTATTTCCATTAAATCATTATATTTAATTTCATAGTTTGTGGTGTTAACGAGGGTTATTAATTTAAAAGTATCTGTCTTTTTTGAACGCGTTATAACAGGTGATCTCCGCTCGATATTAAAAGGTTTAGGTATTAAATCTGGATCACTATCGTTATCGTCCTCACTTTGATTTTTGTCTAAAATAGATCTTACTAAAAGTCGTAATTCTACGGTTTCGCTATTTTTTGAAAATTCCTTATTTAAAAATCGTAAAATTTGTATTAGATCGTCTTTAGATAAAAAATAATAAAGGTACAAAGATTTAGGTACAGAAAGTAATTCAATCTTTTCCTCTAACGACTTCTGTGTAAATTCTTCTTTTTTTGAGTTTACTTGGAAGTTCTAACGAAAAAAGAATTCCAAAGTCAAGTTTAGCGATTTCTATAACGTCACTGGGTAATTTTATATTCCTACACTGAGAAAAAGCTTCAGCGATCTCTGAATACTTAACTGTTTTAATATAAGATATACATACGTTTGGCGTTAAACTAGAGACATCTATAGACTTATCTAAGCTTAAAAATGACCAAGTACGTTGAGAAATATGAATGGTTTGATTATTACACGCTCTTTTAAAATAATACTTAAACATTTGCTAAAAAAAAATAGATTTTTATAATTATACTATATTGTTTAAATTAAAATTTTTGAAAATAATAAGTAATGAGGATTCCAAATTAAATATTGTCATTAAACAAACAAAGACGTAAACTGTTCCTTGATAAGTACCAAAATCGATATAATTGTGCTAGTAATTATGAACAATTATGGGGAATTAAATATTTGTTAAATATTTGCCGGCGCCTCCACCAAATTGCAACACACCTCCTCGGTTAGTCAAACCCAGTGGCTGTCGATATTTATACCTAACTCTATCCAGTTAAGGAGTAGTTGGTTGGCTATTCCCACTACACGAACCGGTCCTTAGATCCGGGTTGTTGAATTGATATAAATAAAGTTTTCTGAGTTATATTTTACAGGTCCTAGAAACTTATGACCTGCGTTCATAAACTAACACAATTAACACGATATAGCAACGAATACAATGTTTTATTCAAGACTAAAGTAATTATAATATTATAAACAATAAAATACACTATCACCTGAGTAACCCTGTTCTTAAGGGTAGTATATTGAAGATAACAGGAGTAGCGGAGTACGAGTTGAACAATACTGAATTATTATAATTTAACTATTAGGTACGTTATTACTTATTATATACTTAAAGTTAATCAATTAATTACGTTTAATAATATTGTAAATATGACTATAGTAGACTGATGTATAGTCTCTATTTCACGGATCAAACTCGACTGGCTGCTATGCCAATAATATATAGGCTCGTACTCTACGTTCCTGTTTTCTGTTTATCTAAGCAAATTCGCCGAGTGCGACATAAATGACGAGTCAGTAAACTGCGAATCGTTACACCTACTATCAATAAACAAGTGAAATTAAGTTAAAAGTTAAGGCGTTATAATTTATAATTTTATACAATTATTGACAAACCACAAACTGTATATTAGACTTTTTTGTAGTTCATTCAGCGGATTAGAAATTTAAATAGAAAATAAATACGATTTTTTTACTACACTTTATTACACGTCTTCAGTTGTTTTAAAATACTATTTTTGCGATCCATGGAATATAATTGGCTACTCTAGTATAAACTCCGGGTGTATCCTTGTCGGCACAAAATCTCCCAAAAGATGTAATCCCGTATTGTGTAAACATGCCCGTGTAGTTGGCATGTTTACATTGAAGTGGACCTCCCGAATCACCCTACAGTAAATTTGATATTAATTAACTATTTAGTTTTATACAATTTTACAAAGCATTACAACTTTCATAGTTCGTACCGAACAATTGTCTCTTTCGCCATCAAACGAACCCGCACATATCATGCTATCAGGTAATATTCCATATCTTAATTTTGGATCATTATAATAACTTTCGTTGCATTGTTTCATCGGGAAAATATCCAATTCCACTTTTAACAAATTGTCACTAAGTGGTCCAGCTAGAAAATTGTAACGAAAAGAAAAAATATTAACTTTTCACCTATTATGGTTGTGGCTAATTAATAATAATAAAGATTATCATTTAAATTTTAAACCAACCCGTTGAAATTCGTCCCCAACCAGTAGCTATTTGCTTTGGCGGAGTTAAATTCGGATCAGTGTTAAGACAAATCGGTCGAACTTTTTCGGAAAATACGACGTTCCTCTCCAAACGAAATAAAGCTATATCGTTGTACAACGAAGGTGGATTGTAATCGGGATGTATTATATGCCCAACTATTTCATAGTCATTGGGCCGATCTACGTTGGTTTCACTAACGACTCTTTCTAAAACTCCAAGGCGAGCCCAACGAGCCTTATTCCTTAAAATTAAAATAAATGCACAGTATTGGTTTTAAGTTACTTAAGCAGTATTTAATTTGTTCTATCATATTTACCCAGAACTTTCTAGACAGTGTGCAGCAGTCAATATCCACCTTTTGCTTATCAGCGAACCTCCACATTTCCAATCCTCTCCATTTGTTGGGGTGGCACCATAACCTAATAGCGCCTATAGTCATATGTTTACAACAATAAATAATAATATATTCTATACCTATCTTGACTTTGAATATATTTACGATTAAATATTACCATGTGTGGAAACTCTTGAAGTTCGACTGCTATACCCTGTACTGATGCTTGAGCAAGACGACGTTTACGATTCAATATTAGTAGAAACTCTTTTTTTTGAGATGGTTTAACTCGCACAAATGAAAACTCGTTTTTATTTTTAACTAATTTAGAAAATTGATAACATTCTGCAAATTATTTAAATGACAACATTTAGTTCGATAGATATGATTATTTAATAGGTTAAAGTGTGTAAATAACACAGTAAATACTCAAAATCAGTTAGAACTAAAACCGTTATTTTTGTTATTTTTCGAACCTCAAAAGTCTATAAAAATAACAGAGTTTACATATCTTTTTTACATTTTTGGTTTCAGTAAGACCTGCAGAATTGTGTGTTCAATTTTCAATTCTACATTTCTATAGAGAGGAATCCAATTTCCGTAATTATGTCTTAATTTAAATTTAAATTCTTATGAAAAATAATCATGCTTACATTTTTACTTTTGGCTCCTTAAAGTAGACTCTAGTTTACCAATTAGCCCATTTTATTACCAGAACCAGTATCCACCATGAACGTTGTAGGTTGAAGTATTTTTATTATTACAAAGGTTGATAAAAAGTGTCTCTAATAAAAACACAAGAAAATTAGGTAAACAATTGGATTAATTAATTGCCGTTCCACTCAGAATCAATTGTACTAAGCATGAATTACCCATGTGGCAGAATCTTTCCAAATGAATAAAGAAGCCTTTGGAAAAAAAAGCTATGTAGAACAAAATAGAAAAATATTGTAATTTGTAAGGAATAACTTCTAACTGATTTTGGGTATTTATGTATTTAGCTTATGGGTATATAACATAAATATATAAATATTATATAATATAAATTTTGTAATACGTTTTCATACTTTTATTGGTGGCAGATATTGATAGTTTCTCATTTTTAGTTTTTAGTAATTCATTAGCCGTTATTGGACAGCAAACTATCGGCAGTAAACCAACGAACTTACACACATCAAGATAATTACTTGTTCTAATACTTTCTTTGAAAGCGTTACAGTGTGTTGCAGCTTTACACACATACTTTTGATTTGCTTTAAGTGCTTTCCGACAAATCTCACCTGAAATAAATATACATTTAACATTTGAGCTAAAAATTATAGCTAAATATTTATTTATTTTTTTGTATAATTTTTTAGTGTAGGCCTAACAAAGAAAAATCTATGTAAGTGGGGATACAATACGGAAACCGTAGAATGCGATTGTGGAAGTGAACAAATTGAACACCATAATATCACAGATTATAATAATATAATAATATAATCTGTGATAATATACTCATATATCCCCTGAACTCGGTGACATGCGGAAGCAACTGACGCGAATAAACAAGAAGCCAATCAATGGAGTAAAAAAGGAGTATAATACACAAAGCATCTGTATCATAGCCCGGGTAAGATAGGAAGAAGAAGTACTAAGACATTTTAAAGTCACAATATAAAAAGAGCTCAAAACTGTTGAATAAAAAAAAAAAAAATAGTAGAAAAAAAGTTATTTTTTATATAATAGGTACAGTTATAGGTAAAATACTCTTCGAAATAATTAAGGTCAGCGAGTTTTATTCAAATATGGTTGGTGTTTTAAATATTTTCAGAGTTTCATAATAATTATTCAACATTCAGTATACAAAATAATATGTTAAAATAGCGCATTTTAAATTGTAATACTTTTTACTAAAAACATATATTTAGAAGTAATTATAATTTATTACAATAACTTGCATACAGAGCAGTCTAAGTATAATCCTAGTATGAATATTCTATTTTTATTATATTATTATTATTAAAGGTTTTTATTTAATTAAAAGTTTTTCTTTTTATTAATGTTAATAATCATTAGTCAATACAATTTATTGAAATTAGTTTTTATTTAACTTCGAATCTTGTCTGTTTGTCCGCTCGATATCTCGATAACGGCTTAACATACAGGGTTAAACTTGGTATATTCTGAACCATTTTGATCTCTAATTTTGCACGACGAAGAGCTTTTTCTAAAATTTGTGTTGGTTGACCTTCAAAAGACAACTGCGAATCTACACCTATTTAAGTTATAATAATCAATAAAACATAATATATAATATTATACATCGATGGTAACTATCGATTATTTAACTATCGTTTTTCCTTCACCTACAAATGGATTTATTTTAATTTGACCTTCAAAAGACAACCGCATATATATTATATATATATATATATGTATATTTATGTATATCACGTGCAATTTACAATAACATGTACCTGTAGTTAGATCGTATGACAAATTACTCTGAGTTGGTTGCAGTCGCGTAATTTTTTTTTTTTGGTACCTACGCATAAATATTGTGCAGGCCACTAATATGTTTTTTGAAATCGTTTACGTTATTTATGGCTAATTTACACAATTAATAGGAAGTTAGACGGAACTATTTGATTCAAGTTACCCTTGATTAGGATTGGGGAAGGTTTAATAGTATTAATTATTAAAAAAAGCCATCCTTGCATCCACGGCTTAATCAATATATTTGTTTTTAGCTATTTTTAACTATAGCAACAATGCCTTACATCTTAAATTCTGCTGTATCTAGTGGACTTAAAATTACAATAGGGAGCTTTACAGGGTACCCACCCAAATGCAGAGGCGGCTTGATCATGCATTTTGTGGTTCACTGAACCACCAAAAAGTTTGGGGTGGGTGTCATTTTAATAGGTAGGTATACTTGTTCTTGGTAATCAGTGTCCGGTATAGCCGTATATACGAGGTAATATAAGGATGGTTTATTTGATGGCTAATTCATTATTAGCAACAAGCCAACAAATAGATATAATCACATATATTAACAATCAACTTATGAAGTTATAAAAAGCTTTAGTGCTTTACGACGAAAAGATAGTTACATAAACTATAAAGTATGAGACAATGTGACATTATTTTGTTATTTGAAAATCACAATGAACTGTATACTAGAATTGTATTATAATAATATCGTTATAACTGAACTACTCTCTAATGTGAAATTTGCTGAAATGTAGTCACTTATACTGAATTCAACAACTGATGAGTCAAAGCTCAACAGTGCCGTAGACAGGAATTTTATATGGGGGGGGGGGGTTATTATAATAATAACATGTTATAGTACTGTTACATGCAACAGTAGCTTTTCTGATAGGAAACTGAATCTAGTTGGTACTTTGGGGGGTCAAAAGTAAAAATTTCCCAGTAGTTTTCACAAGCGCCGGGAAAAACAACATAAAAATTAAGGAAAAACGGGAATTTTTACGCAAAATCGGTTTTCCAAAAAATCGATTTTGGTTTTTAGTGTAACTCTAAAACAAATAAACGTATATACATGAAATTTTCACTGGTTGTTTATATTTGCATTTTCTATACACGATAACATTTTCAAAATATTTGATTTACTTTGAACTGTTTAGGCACATTTTTATTTTCCATTTTTTTTTAGTTTTTTTCTAAGAATATCAATAAAATTTTATTTGTTGGTTGCGAAAGCTTGAAAATTTAATAGAAGGCTCCTAGTATATTGTTTCAAAGGCAGATGAAAAATATTAAAAATCCTTAGTCACAATTTTTTTTTATAAGCATTTAAAGTTCAAAAATTGACAAAATATGGAAAAATCATGAAAATTAGCAAATTATTTTGAGTTAAGAATTCGTAAAAATTTTTCTTTTTAAATCTAAGATTTGAAAATGTAATACAAGATTCCTCATAAGATTATCTACATTTATCAAAAAAAAAAAATGTCTATAAGAAAGTCAAATTAAATTTTTATGAGCGTTTGAAATTCAAATTTTTACAACATTGGATGTTCACTCGATTTCTCATGTAGCGATTTCCTTATTTTGTTGTAATTCAAAAACGAATAACTGTAGATACATGAAAAATTCACTGAATGTTTATATTAGCATTTCCTATACACCATACAATTTTGAAAATATTTTGACTCTTTTTGAGCTGTTTAAGGATATTTTCATTTTTCAATTTTTTAATTTTTTTTTCTATGAATATCAATAAAGTTTTATCTGTTGGGCCAAAAAGTGTAAAAATTTAAGACAAGGCTCCTGATATATTGTTACAATATCAGTTGAAAAATATTAAAAATACATAATATGCAGTATGCACAGTTTTTTTTTATAAGCATTTAAAGATCAAATTTTGACAAAATTTACCAAAATCTCGAAAATTATCAATCATTGTAATTAATAAATTATAAAATGTTCAGTTTTTATAGCGAAGGATTGCAAGTTTAAAACAAAGGTTCTCATAAATAGTTCATACTGTAACCAAAAAATCTAAAAAAAATATGAACCCAATTATTATCAAATTTAGACGAAATTATATATTAAAAAACCTAGAATAACTATTTTAGTTATTTTGTTGTGATTGAATAATATTATTCGTGGGTAATTGAAACTTCTAAACTCTAAAGTGTACTATTATATATCTATGATAGTATCACGGTTTTTGTTGATGTATAACGCGTTATAAGTACCTAATGGATATTGTGATATGATTAATTTGGAATTTATTATAGGTCAAATTTTGGTTTAGTACCATAGATATGTATATAATATGTCTTTTACTTGGACTGTCATACCGTCTCCGCTCAGAATCGTTTTTCTTATACAATGATATTATATCGTTGAATTCAAATTTAATATCATCCATTATACAGTGATCCACATGTAACCTACTGTACAGCAGAGAGACACCCACTTGCCCACCTTTTTTAATTTGAAAAAATCGTATTTTTTCTAAAACAAAGTTTTATTTGTAATAGCAATTAGGATATTTTTTCAAATTAAAAAAAAACCTCAAATTCGTTCACATTTAAAAAAAAAATATTTCTTCAACTCGTTATAAATTATGCTTTTTGGTGTTAAGAAAAAAAGCTTATTGCCAAAAATTACCAGTTTTAAATTAAAGAAAATGTTGATATTTATGATATTAAACAAGTATAGTTATAGGTACCTACTGAAGATGTGTACCCAAATGTATATAAATTGCTCTAAGTAGCTTTCACTATAGCCCTGTTAGTTGCGCAACCGGCAAACGTTCCTTATCTTCAATGCGGCGTTCAAAAGCTTGTCAGAGAACAACAATGAGACCAGAACGATTTTCAAATTTATTAATATTATTGAATATCGAAAGAGATGTAACTAATAGTCTTGACACAAAAACAATTATTGATACATTTCAGCAACTAATAAAAAATTTGTATTGATTTTATATTATGTTATATGTAGGTACCTAAATTTTGTAGTTGAGTAAAAGTTGATATAAAAATGCGTCGAGGTATAAAATTATTTATAACTTCAATTAAAATTTTTAATTCACTACCTAGTCTTATAAGAATTTATTCGTGTATTGTTAGTAGCCAGCCAGTATATTAGTTATCCCTAACCGTTAGGGGGTCTGTGCTGCAGATAAAATTCTAGCAAAACATTGACCATAGTTGCGCCGATGTACAGCGCTCTAGATAAAACTAATTTTGTTTTATATCTATAGACTATATGTTTGTAATGTCGACTCGTTCACTTGGTTATTTATAATTGGGTACTTAATTTATCATATCATCACAATTATTAAGCATGTTTTAAAATGAATAATAATTGTTAAAAAAGTTATAAAAATTAGGTAAGTTCTTGTACCTGATATGACTTTTTGGTAGGTGGGTGGGTGGTATTAACTATACTGTTGAACCACCAACTGAAAAATGTCAAACCGCCTCTGCCCAAATGTATACCATGCGTACCGCAAACGATACACCTACTTCGTTGAATTATTTTTAAATAATATAATATTGAAAATTTGGTAATATAATCGATGTAATTTTTTAATTAAACATTTTTACGATTCTCAAATGTTATATTATAACTTTAGCTATAGTGTCATTGAATATTTATGAGTCTGATTTGTTATGTCTGTGCATACTAATATACAAATGCCGCCATCCCTCGGTCGGGCATGGCAGAAACCCACAGGTTCCCAATTCGAAATTCTGCCAAAACTAAATACACGTGTTAACCCAACCTACAGTACCCTCCCCCACAGTTGAAAAACCACCCAATGGCCCTGTTGCAGCAGGTTAATAAAAAAAAGTAGATATAGTTATACAAAATATGTTGTACATTTATCAATGTGCATAATGTAAATCGACATACCTTCATTTAATCCAAGATTTTTTACCATTCGTTGTGATGATGTGTTGTAAATGCATAAAACAATTAATGCAATGCTGAATAATATAACTTTAAAAAATATGGTATTTCCCATTTTCAAATAAAATATTTATGAATAACTTCTGAAAACCGATTCCAGGTGTGTAAACGACGAGTCTAACGAGTCTGAGGCATAAGATAATAAACAACGCTCCCGAACTCGACAACTCGTCGGTCGGTACGCGGCTGTGAGTAGTGGGCGCGGCTTAAACGTGCTTGCGGATCACGAAAACACCAAGAGCATTCTCTTGGTCATTGCATGGTTTCGTTTGCCCGTGTGACGTCCTCTTAATCATTTCCAGTGGCGGATCTAGGATTTTTTTATGGGGGGTGCTTAGGCTAAGGTATAATATTGTATTCTGTATACTAGGTACATCCTGATGGCATGACATTATTTTAGTCCTAATTGGCAATTGCACATAAAGCACATTGCTGAATATTTAAAAGGATAAAAATAAGTGACAACTTTAAAAATACATCTAAAACAAATACCTTTATTTAAAAAAAAAATAAAACATAAAAATTTAAACAAAAAATTTAAATTATATCACATCCACTTACTGTATTTTTTATTTCTTAATAATTGATTGACAAAAAACAAATTAAAATGTTTAGGACATTTTGATCAATCTTCTAATTCCATCCTCCTTTTTTTTCCGAGCGAAAGTGTAAACTACTTAAGATATCTATAATTTTTAAATGTATAATAACAAAGTATTAAAGTCAGTGGTGTATATAGGGGGGAGGCTCCCTAGGCCAGCGCCCATTGTTAAATTGCAGGTTCAATTAAACCATTTCATGTATATCTACACTGTTTACAGTTTTTCACTATGATTAATTTAACCGGTTGATTAAAATCGTTTTGAGGAATCGACAAGGAAATGTTAGATTATCTGGACTTGCTTTGATGACTTTTGTGTTAAATTCACAATAAGATAACATTAAAATATATATTATGTATATATGAAATTGTCAATATTTTTTAAAAAAGAATTAAAAATGAATTTTACATAATAATTATAAAATTGAATTGCTCAATTTTTATTTGTATTTATAACCACCCAGCTCCTTGAAAAGTGTATAGTTATGGCTATGTTAGTCTCACTATGCTGACTAGTGATAAATTGGCCCATTGTGAAAATAATTTAATAAATAAATAATTACGCCACTGATTAAAGTAACAGACAAAAATATTATTCATAATAATACCGTGGATTTAAAATAGTATAATCGGTATTCGGTGATAACACTAGTGATAACTATTATTCTATACTGTGTAACTACTAGATAATATTATCTACATCGTGGAAAATATCTATGCTTTAAACAGTGTGATACTAAACCCAATATTCATGTCTGATATCCGTGACCCGTGGGT